ACATTGTAAAACTATGCTTTTTTTGACTGCGGGAGATGTAAAACGTCCAGATTTGCAACAAAAGTCTATATTTTTTTTTTGCACGATCTCAAGACTTTCTCTATACTTCGTATTTACAAGAAAATAAAAATGACACTCCATATGTTGTTTTAAAATATCTTAATTCAATTTTGAAAAAATACTAACCTGTTATCGCCAGTGTTATTGATTAAACTATGAGTGTCATTTGTCGAACTCATGTACTCATCTGCAATGTTTATTTTTCAATGTGATTCACTTTCTAATACAAATAGGCCAACATATAAAATTATAAGCGTATTAGAGTATTTTGCTTGTGAAGATTCTTTAGTTTATAAAGGGGATTTTAAAATCCAACTGTAAGTATTTATTTTTGTGCTTAGAAAATGTGTTTTAAGCATTAACATTTTTACGGGAAAAAACCCCGCTTAAGAAATAAGATATAGATGTAAGTTGTCTAAAAAAGATACACACTTAACATGGATGATAAAAACTTCTGATTTCAAATTGAGGAAGCGAATTTGTGTTAAAATATACAAAAATATTTATACAAAAAATATTGTTTCATAACCTAATTATGCAAAGAAAAACTGATTTTCTAAATTGTACTCTCCTCGAAAATCACCCGACTTGAGCTTAGGGGTCATCCATAAATGACATCACGCTTTTTTGACAATTTTTATTTCCCCCCTCCCCTCCGTCACACACCGTCACAAAAAGCCAGACCTCCCCCCTAAAATGACGTCACACCTCAGCCTACGACCCCTTCAAAATTGCAGTTGAATTTTTTTTAAAACATCGATATTTTTCTGAAATCTTGTCTGAACTCTGTCAAAATAATAGAGTATTTTGATCAATTCCTATTACAATTTATTAAAACAGTTTTCTAAAACGCGAAATAACGTCTAAAATTCGTTTTCTAACATTGCTTTTTTATAATGCAAAAGTGTGACGTCGCACGATCTGAACCCCCCTTCCCCTCGTCACACACCGTCACATAATTACGGACCCCCCCCCCCTCTCCCCTACGAGTGTGACGTCATTTATGGACCACCCCTTACTGCAGATGCAAATAATGGTGTAGGCCGTGTAGATTGAAGAACCTAGGGGGGGGGGGGAGCTTCACTTCGTTTACTTAATCACTATTAATGCTTAACTCTTTCTGTCACTTTAATTCACTTACTAGTTGCAACCTTACCTCTACACTGTATCCCAAAACTTATCGGAACTTAAGCTTCATCGAACACAAAAATTAATGTTACTAGAATAGATTTTTTTTTTAGCGCAATTTCCATTCTGGAGAATTGCGTTTATTAACCCGTCATTTCTGGATGGATGGATGAATGTGTGTCCGCAGCTTTAAGTCGTATCTCCTCCTCAACGAAGCAATATCGATGACTAGTTCCAAAAGCAATTATCTTAAGCAAGTTACGAGGATGAGCATAGGCCATACAAATTCCGGGTTTCTTTCATGGATTTCCTGGAAAAGCCAAAAAACCTCGAAAAGATGCAGTTTTTGCCCATATCTCGGCAACCAGACCACTTAGCGACTTGAAACATGTACCAATCGATTCCTGCCATAATTTAGAACAATATTGCCGAAGAAAGTTTTCAAAAATATCCTTTCGTTCGGTCACAAAAAAAAATTTTGAATTAATTAAAATTTTGACCGAATTAGTAGGCATTTTATCCAACCACACCACACGCGTCATCACGTTCAATAGCTGCGCCATCACGTTCAATGGCTGCGACATCACGTTCGGTAGCTAGGCGCGCAATGGTTTTTAGTCATGTTACTCTATTGTAAATAAAACATGTAAAATACTGAAAAAAAAATTAATAAAAAACGTTTTAATAACTAACCAATGGTTTTACTAGCCCTGCTCTTGATTTACGCTACGACAGAGCTATTTTTAGATAACATAAGGAAATTGCGCTTAAATGTCACTAGACTTTTTAATTAACTTGTTTTGCATTATGCTTGCATTATTCGGTTGTTTTTGGAATTTACTTTTGTTGCCACGCTTTTCTTACTCTTCCACTCGTTCGGTAAACTATACCTGTCGCAGATGAGTAAAAGTAAGTGTCATTAAATAGCTCAGATGCATAATCAGTTGCATAATTAAATGCAAAGATTTCCACACACACTCACGCACAAACACGCGCACGCGCACGTATGTACGCTCACACACACACACACACACATACCAAGAATTCCAAAAGAATTTAAGAAAAAATAAGACTTCTAAAGTACTCATCATCTAAATTAATGATTTTAAAAATTATTATTGAAGGTGTTGTAAAACAATTTTCATCTTTCAAACTTATAATGATAATTGTCGGCATGTCGATCAAACAATTTTTAAAAAAAGGTATCACCATTCACAAAATTCTAATTGTGCCTGAAAATTATTTACATTTTGTTATTTAGCACTCCTTACGTCCATTGATCAAATTAGCAAAACACAATTACCTCCTTATATAAAAACAAGTTAATTAAAAAAGTCTAGTGACATTTGTGCGCAATTTCCTTATGTTATCTAAAAATAGCTCTGACGTATAATGTTGGGGTGCGTTCAAGCTAGAAGAACAATCGGTTTGTAGGTGTTTATGTAATTTTAAAATTTGTGACCGAACGAGAGAATATTTTTGAAAACTTTCTTCGGCAATATTGTTGTAAATTATGACAGGAATCGATTGGTACATGTTTCAAGTCGCTAAGTGGTCTGGTTGCCGAGATATGGGCCAAAAACTGCATTTTTTCGAGGTTTTTTGGCTTTTCCGGGAAATACATGAAAGAAACCCGGAATTTTTATGGCCTATGCTCATTCTCGTAACTTGCTTAACATAATTGCTTTTGGAACTGTTCATCGATATTGCTTCGTTGAGGAGGAGATACGACTTAAAGCCCGGACACACATTCATCCATCCATCCATCCATTCCCAGAAATGACGAGTTAATAAACGCAATTCTCCAGAATGGAAATTGCGCTAAAAACATTACATTGTGGGGGAAAAAAGTAATTTTTATTACTTTGTTTTGGTGATTGGTAAAAAATAATTACATAAATAGCGGGGATTGGTGAAATAAAAACTAATAGATATTTTAAATACTGCCTTATTTTTTTCTATACACTAAACTTATTGTTTACTAATTATTATTTTTAATCAAAGATAGTTGACATAACAAAAGACATCTTTATTTTCCCCCAGGTTATGAGCTGACGTTTTTTGGTGAACGAAGGGGAATTCCGTTTTGTCACTCTTTTTTTTTTCACACGAAGAGGAGTTCGTTTTTGTCTGTCGCACTAAACATGATGAGCGTCGTCTTTTTTTTTACCTAACCATGGTGTGTACCTTTTTTAAGCAGAAGTTTTAACAGTAAATATTGCAATGTAAAGTTTTACTACGTCTCGATAGTAAAGGCAATGTTTTATAGCTTCAAAGTTTCTATCAGATGACTTTGATTTGCACTGCAAATATTTTTTTTAATCAATAACAGTTCAGAAGGCGGCTCCTAAATGTCCTCTTTGTTTACTTCTTTCCGTTTACGGATAAGACTGGGATATTGTAATTGTTAACTAAATTGAAATAGGCGCATCCACCGGCGCCACGGTAGGGTTCGATTGGTGCCCTGTGCTATCCTGTGAGCGCAATGGTGCATTATTTCGCTTTAAACAGTGCGATAGACTATGGATAAGGAAGTTTACTATAGACTTCAACTGAATCGAATCCGGGCGACCTCCAGCGCCCTGACAGGGTGCTATTTGGCGCCCCAGGCTAGACTGTGAGCACTTTGCGTTTATGTTTGCGTTTGTAGTTTCTTTGTGTTTTTGAGTATGGATTTGTGTTTGTGGTTGGGTTTGTGATTTCGTTTGGATTTGGGCTTGTTTTTGTTTGCTTTTTTGTTTGCGTTTTTCTTTGAGTTTTCTTTGTGTTTGTGGTTGGGGTTGTGTTTGTTTTTGCGTTTTGCGTTTTCGTTTGTGTTTGTATTTGTATTTGTGTTTGTGTTATATTTGCGTTTTTTGTGTTTTGGTTTTGGTTGATTGGTTGTGGTTAGGGTTAGGGTGAGCAATGCCGGGTATACGCTGATTACTAAACACACAAGTCATGGTCCTTTACAGATAGGTTTTTCAGGGAGGCCAGTGCAGGTCCTGGCCGGGACGGCGCTAATATATATATATATATATATATATATATATATATATATATATATATATATATATATATATATATATATATATATATATATATATATATATATATATAGGCTGCGTTTCTGTGCTCAGCCACGGAGACTCTTTTGAAATGTACCGATTTGAGGAAAAAACCAAACCAAACAGAAACACACACACAAAAACCACAAACGAAAGCACACAAAAAACGTAATCACAAAGACAAAAGACAACGCAAGCTCTAACGTAACAAAAGAAAACACAAACACAAAAGAAAATACAAGCACAACGCAAATACAAATACAAATACAATGCAAACGCAAACACAAATGTAAACGCAACATGCATATACAAACACAAACGCAAACAATAACGCATAACATAAACACATACTTAAATGCAAACATAAACGCATAGTGTCCACAGTCTAGCCCTAGGCGCCTAATCGCACCTTGCCGGCGGAACCGTCTGATTCAATTTCGACTATAATACCCCAAAATATCCATAGACTATCCAAAAATAATGCTCTCCGGGAAAAGCGTTTTAATAACAAGCTTTTAGGTAATAATGCACCAAAAAGGAGAAAATAAATTATACACTACTATTTAAATAACTTTAAAGAAAAGAGTGGGTCTCTTCCTAAACATTAGTAAAGGTATCAAATAGGTACTTAAGTGACCCACGCTTTTCTTTATAGTTATTTAAATAGTAGTGTATAATTTAATTTCTCCTTTTTAGTGCATTCTTACATAAAAGCTTGTTATTAAAACGTTTTTATGAGAGAAAAAAATTGTTTCTTTTTTAGTATTAGTTTACGGTTAAATATTTTCCTTTACCTTCAATGGATTCTGTACTGTTTCTTGTGTCTTGAGTTTTAAAGTTGTACCTTTCGACTAATGGCGTACTTTGTATAGGGAAGGGGTTGTTACCGACACTCCAAGAAGACTTCGTTTTCCCTGAATTAGAATAAGATGTTCCTCCTATGTTGTTAGTTAGGTCATTTTTTATTTGAAGGAGAAATTCGACAACATCAAATTTCTTTTTCTTTATCGCCATCCTTATGGAGGTTTGTCCGTCGAGTGTTTTTTGGTATATGTTAGCGTTTGCTTGAATCAACATTTGAACTATCTTCAAACTACCTTCAGCCGCAGCAAAGTGTAGAGCAGTGCGGCCATTAAAGTCGGATGCGTTTACGTCGGCGTTGTGTTGTAAAAGAGCTTTAACGGCGGGGATACATCCACGTTTAGCGGCTGATCTAAGAGCCGTTACACCTTCCTTGGATTCTGCATTAACGTCAACATTAAGCCTAATTAATGTTTCAACGACTTTCTCACTTCCATTGAAGCTAGCTATAATAAGTGGAGTATTACCCTTTTTGTCGACATGGTTTTCGTTAGCCTTATATTTATGTAATAATAATACAATCTCATCATTATTTATCTTACAAGCAAACATCATGGCAGTCCATCCATTCTCGTCTGTCAGGTTGCTATCAGCGCCGTTAGCTAGAAGAAGTCTGAGTATCGGCAGGCATCCAGCTTCAGCCGCAGACATCAGAGGAGTTTTCCCATTAGTACCAGCCAGGTTTACGTCTGCATTGTGGTCTAGAAGTAGCTCCACTGCTTTTAACTGCGAGTTTTTGCAAGCAACTATTAAAGCAGTATTTTTTGATTTTATAAAGTCAATCTCCTCACCATGTTTAAGTAAAGTTAGAATTATCGTCAAATGTCCATTTTTTGAAGCCTTCATGAGAGGGGTATAGCTTTCTATATCCAAAGGAAATCCAAACACACACGAATTATACTTGAATAATAATTCCACTACATCAACATAACCTTTTTCACAAGCTTTTAATAATGTTATATAAACACTTGCATCATTTTGCGTCTTTAGATGGAATTTCTTTAAAATAATTTTAACAATTTTAATATTATTATTATCAGCTGCAAGCATAAGTATATTTTTTTTTGCATTATTGAATGTGTCAGTTATAGCATTGCGCTTCAAAAGCAAGTTAAATGTTTTTACATTTCCTTTCTCAGATGCAATCATTATTGCCGTGTTTCCTTCAATATCTTTCAGATTTATTGAAGCTCCATTTTTAAACAAAAAATCACAGATGTCATAATGGTCATTAAATGCTGCTAACATCAATGCTGTTCTTCCATTGCTGTCAGTCAAATCTAAACCCCTGTATTTTTTTATTAACCATTCTACAGTTCTGTAATGGCCATTCTTTGATGCCATCATTAAAGCTGAATGTTCATTATTATCTATAGTGTTTAATATGCCTACATAAAATGTATCATATTTTTCAAAGGTATTTTTATATAATATTTGTAAAATATGAGTGTAACCCTGCGAAGCGGCAAGTAAAAATGCTGTTTGGCCCTTTTTATTTTTTTTGTATGGATGTATGCCTTTTTGAGGATGTGCTAGTATGAACTTCACAACTTTTGCGTGTCCATTGAATGCAGCAAGAATCAATGGATTGTTTCCATTAACATCCTTACAGAATTTCTTGTGCGCAAGATGGAACGTTTGCTTTACTTTTTTAATATCTCCTGTAGAAGCGGCTGACAGTAAAATATCATTTACAGACATGGTTTATTAATTTTATTCTTGCACGATTTCATAACACGCGGCTTTCTATAACTGGAGATGATGCACTGTGTGTACATGAAAAAAAAGATAAATAATTAAGTCCAAAACCTAAGAAAAATAGGCTTGAATGTAATGCCAAATACGTTTATACTTATATATCAATCTTAGAGATATATTTGTCTTAATTTAAGCTCGAGTTATTAGAATATAATAAATGTCAGACCTTGATTTTTTGTATCTTATTACAGTTACTTTAATGTGATAATCTAAAGAATGACTGTATTGTCGTTAAAATCTTGATGAATATGTAATCTTCAAAACAGTTCACACAAACGCGTGTTAGAGCTGATATGATAAATGTACCTGATCAAATCATTTAAGTTTATGGCATAAAAATATTATTTCAACGTCCGAGGACATCAGTATTGTAATGTTGTGTTAGATCATGTTTCAACGCCACCACAGCAACAGCAATGCTTGAGCATAGTTACAATTTTGGCCCAATAATACAATATCAGTACTTTATCAAACAAGTTCGTTCACCTTAAAAACACAGCTATGTTTAAAGTAAAGTTTTATTGATTGCTGTTACCCTACAACAAATTAAATAAATAGAAATTAAATAATCTAGCCACGGAAATAAGTAACCTGAAATCATTCCAGTTTAGTAGGTTCCAAGAGGACTAAATAAAGGGGTTCCCAACCTTTTTTACTCTAGAGCACATTCTAAAATATCGGTAGGGTGGCGGGCACCACCTATTTTAAATCGACAAACTACTTCCAGAGGCGTAGCGACCCTTCCCGTCAACCGGGTACAAAACTTTCGATTTGCACCCCCCCCCCTCAAACTTTCGATTTGCACCCCCCTCAAATTTTCGATTTGCACCCCCCCCCCCTCAAACTTTCGATTTCCATCCCCTTCAACCTTTCAATACTGTTTATGAAAAAAATTCTGTCTCTGTCGAATAGTGAGAGGCGGGCACATACGAATCGTTCTGCGGGCGCCATTGCGCCCGCGGGCACGGAGTTGGGAACCCCTGACTTAATACATAAGGTAGTGATTTCTAAAACTCTTTTATAACGATTAGATAGTCACATATTAAATGATTAGCTTTGGCGATGTAGTTGTTGCCACAACCATATTCGTTATACATTGTTCGCCATAGATTGTTCGACATAGATCTTTGTCGAATCCATTTAACGTAGATTCATAAAACTTACTTAATAAAAAACACACAAAAAGTAAAGTTATGATGAAAATGTTGAAACGCATTTTAATTTTTGCTTTAAATTCGCTTCCTTTCTTCTAATATTTTTATTTTATTTTACAGTGGCAAGTATATTATTGGTTTATAATTTTAAACAATCTATTCCTAACTTTGGAACGGTAAAAAATAATTTTTGAACCACTGCAGTCATTTCCAGAGCCTAAGATAAGACTAGAATGCCGTGTTCCCCAGTTCATAAGCATAGAAGGAACACGAGCACACACTCTAAACTTATAAAGCCACGTCATGGTCTGAAAACGACACGGCTGATGTAATGTTTTACAAGCCAAGCTAGCTCTCAATAAACGTTATACTATCTAGACTCGAGGGAATGATTTTGTGGCTGCTTTGGGGAATACATAAACACACAAGCATTATATATATATATATATATATATATATATATATATATATATATATATATATATATATATATATATATATATATATATAAATTATATTATATATACATATATATACACAGATTTAGGCCTATATGCTTCTCTACAAGTGTGTTGGAATGTTTGTATACATTATATTTATATGTATATACTATATATATAGTTTATTATATATATATATATATATATATATATATATATATATATATATATATATATATATATATATATATATACATATATAGGCCTATTTGCTTGTATATAAGTGTGTTGGAATGTGTGTGAGTGTGCTGGCTAACCTAATATTATCAAATGTCATAGCCTAGTGTTATTTTTAATTTATCATAAAATATATATCTCGTTTGGAATATTAATTAAAGATTAAGACAACTTACCTAACTAGTTTTGGAAACCCCCAGTTTTGTACAGTCCTAAAACAAGAATAAGAGTGTCTGTCCTGTAAATAGACTTGCCTAGATTGTATATGACTACTTACTTGATACTATTTTTGTCTTCATGATTTTTCCGTTAAGAGATAAATTCGAAACATTAGGTGACGCATTGTAGACATAAAAAACTCAAAGGGTATTTCCTGTATTACCTTACAAACATGAAAACGTGAAGAAATAATTTATTGAAAGTAGTACTCTGAAGAGATAAGAAAAAACACACAACATAGGTCGACAAAATGAAAGAAAATATCACTCGAAAACTCAAAACGCAAAAAACAAAATATACACACAATACAACCAAAAACAATGAACGCAACACAAACTGTTTTGTAATCCTTGTAAAAAAATTTGACGATGAATCCTGGAATATTAATTAAGACAAGCGAACTAGGGCAGATGCGTAGCGACCCTTCCCGGCGCCCGGGGACATACTTTCAATTTGGCGCCCCCTTGGGAGCAAATTTTCGATTTGCACCCCCCCCCCTCGAACTTTTCATTTGCACTCCCCCCCCTCAAACTTTCGATTTGCACCCCCCCTCGAACTTTTCATTTGCACCTCCCCCTCAAGCTTTCGATTTGCACCCCCTCCCCCTCGAACTTTTCATTTGCACCCACCCCCCCCTCAAACTTTCAATTTGGCGCCCCCCCTAAGGTCGGCGCCCGGGGACATATGTCCCCCCCCCCCGCCCCCCCCCCCCCCCCCTCGCTACGCTACTGAACTAGGGGAAATAATCACTCTCTTACCATAGAAATGTATATGTCTACATATTTAATTGTAATCGCCAAAACAGATCAATAATTACTTTAGTCAGAAGCGTAGCGACCCTTCCCGGCGACAGGGGCGAATTTTCCTTTTGTTGAAAAAGTTTTGAATTAGGCTAAATTTGTGAATTGTTTTTTTTTTTACAAGCTTTTATTTAACTCCCTTCCTCTGTCGACAGTCTATCTGTCGTCAGTCTAGATAGAAACGCAGGAGTGAAAATTCGGAAACTTTTACTTGACCGATACGATTCACATTTGGCACGTGGGTCAAGACAAGAAGACAATGCAATCTGAAACTAAATTTGACTTAATTGGATGCCTAATTAATTTTTTATGAATTAATTAAAATTTGGACCGAATCAATAGGCATGTCTATCCAACCACACCACACGCGTCATCACGTTCAATCTAATATATAAAGCTCAGTTCTGTATGTAACGCATATGTTTGTCGTTGGTCTTGGATGGATTTAAGTGTTAGACAATTATCGTGCGCATTTGTCTAAATTTATGAGTTAAAAAATTACTATTGAAAGTGTTGGGAAATAATTTTCATTTTTCAAATTATAGTAATAATTGTCGGCATGTTCATTAAACACAAGTTTTAAAAAAATATCATCTTTTACAACAATTCTAATTATGTCTTTATTTAGTCCTATAGTACTTACTTCCCTTTGATAAATTAGGAAAACACAATTACTTCCCTTTATAAAACCATTGCATTTTGTGGAAAAGAATTTACTTTTTAATTACTTTGTTTTGGTGTTGGGGAAAAAAAATAATTACATAATTAGCGGGGATTGATCAAGTGCAAATGTTGTAGGTATTTTACGGATAAGCTTGGAGTATTATAATTGTTCATTAAATTGAAACAGGCGCGTTCGTTTAAGTGAGTGCAAAAGACTATGAATAAGTTGGGGTACTATAGTCGTTCATTAAGCTAAAACAGGTGATTCCGCCCCGGGCGTTGATTTTCGCGTTAGTGTTTTCTATGTGTTTAGGTGGGTTTGCGTTAGTGGTTGCGTTATGATTTGGTTCGTTTTTGTTCTTTCTTTTTTCGTTTTTGTTTGTGTTTTTTTGTTTGGGTTTGTATTTGTGTTTTTGGTTGGTTTTGCGTTTGGATTTGGTTTGTTTTCGTTTGCTTTTTCTTTTTTTTGTTGGTATTGGTGTTTGTGGTTGGGTTTGTTGTTAGGTTTTTGTTTTTGTTTGCTTTTTTGTTTGTTTTTTCTTTGTGTTTGTATTGGTGTTTGTGGTTGTGGTTGGGTTTGTTGTTAGGTTTTTGTTTTCATTTGTAATTGTGTTAGCGTTATGTTTGCGTTTTGTTATTTTGGTTGGTTGTGGTTTGGGTGGGCAATGCCGGGTTTATGATGATTACTAAACACACAGGTAATGGTCTTTAACAGAAAGGTTTTTCACAGAAGCCAGAGCAGGGCCTGGCCGGGACGGCTAGTCTAATATATAAAGCTCAGTTCTGTATGTAACGCATATGTTTGTCGTTGGTCTTGGATGGATTTAAGTGTTAGATAATTATCGTGCGCATTTGTCTAAATTTATGAGTTAAAAAATTACTATTGAAAGTGTTGGGAAATAATTTTCATTTTTCAAATTATAGTAATAATTGTCGGCATGTTCATTAAACGCAAGTTTTAAAAAAATATCATCTTTTACAAAAATTCTAATTATGTCTTTATTTAGTCCTATAGCACTTACTTCCCTTTGATAAATTAGGAAAACACAATTACTTCCCTTTATAAAACCATT